TATATGTGCTATGAATGGAAGTCATATATCACAAATAATTTGTAACCAATTAAAATAAAAAAGTGTTTGAAATAACAAAATAGTAACTATACAACCAATAATTTGTCAGGCGTCTCCCTTAATATTTGAGTATACTTAAAGTGTAACCTTGCTGTCACGCCAAATTAACACCACGCAGATTTCGCACATACAAAATCTAAGATTTCTTGTTTGCCTGCATTTGTTTTCCTTGTTTACAAAATTCCTTGTAAGCGCGCTCAGACTCTTCGTCCATTTCAGGGTCGAGATCCAAATCGTTATCTCTTACATCAAATTCGTCGCCATCGCTGCCAGTGGCATCATCATCTTCGGCAGCTAGAAAATCTGTTTCTTCTGCTGTAAGTTCACGCCCATCTGGGCCATAAAATACAGGCTCATCGCTTAGACGTGGTGGCTCTGGTGGGTTTGCAACCGAATCATCATCTCCACCAAGAGCATTTGAAACTTTTCGTCCCCAATTATTTTCCTGCAAGGCTATGACATTTGCAACCATAGCATATTTACCAGGCGACTTGTATTCAATATCCTGTAACGAAGCAATAATAAATTGCATGTCTTGTTTGCAATCTGCACTTAGATCGTAACCGGCCAACTTCAGCGTTTGGCAAATACAGCGCACATTTTCAGAACTCTCGTATGCTAAAAGTTTTTTCAACGAGTATACTATGTTAACGGCAATTAGTTGGATACGGGCGTCGTCGTCTCCACGTAGTTGCATGTACAATTCAGCGAGAAACAGGGCCGTCTCTCTAACTTTTTGCTGTTGCTCTACCGACTGCATATATTTGTCTAGTTCTGCCCGGTGATAATCCAGCTTAAATTTAAGCAGAGTATGAAATAAGGAATCCGGTTTAGAATTGAGCACATGCAACAGGTTATACAACTTGGCGCCCATGTATCTAAAATTGGGTTGCTCGATTGACTTTTCAAATATATCTTCCATAGCGATAGAGAGTACATAATTATTACTCTCCATTCCTTCAAAGATGGTAAGGAAACGTGATGCGATTGTATCGAATTGGCCTGGATTCTGATAAGAAATAAATATTTTAAATTAAATTCGGGATTGCATTGATCATATGGTTTTACTCAATGCTCACCTGGTTAAGGCAATGTATTACAGTATCGAGATATTCCAAGGCAATGGTTTCCATGTCAGGATGAGAAGAGGCCGACGAATTCGAAACTGCAGCAGACGAAGTCGACGGTTGTGGGGGCTGGTGAAAATATTGCTGTCGTTGCGGCGGCTGTTGTGCAATTTGTTGGAATGAATTATTTAAATGTGCATGGCGTTGAAATTTTGTTTGTGGTTCTTGTGTGTTCTGTTGATGTTGCAATGTTTGTACCTGCTGCTGTTGGTAGTAATTACTCATTGTACCATTATGCGGTGGTAGTTGTCCAATATGTAGACGAGCCTGCACCGAGTTAGACAGCTTTTGCATATCATTGTTATACTGCTGATTTTGTGGATGGTGGTTATAATTTTTGTGCTGCTGATGTTGATGTTGATGCTGCTGCTGTTGCTTGTGACCATTCAAATAACGATGTTGCTGATGTACTGCGTAAGGCGTTGGCCCTGACGATTGATGTTGATAAGTCTGTGGTGGCGGTCCACGCTTACCCATGTTAGTGTTATTCGATTGGTTAGGTATATATTCAGCTGCACTGGCCGATAGTTTGGAATGCCCAAAACCACTTGCTACGTCGCCCATAATTTGTGCCTGTGAAGGAGCTGCATAAATAACAGGAGGGCCTGGTGTAAAAGCAGCTGGGGCATAACCGACAGGAGTAAACTCATTGAATAGATGTTGCTCTAGAGGCATTGTTGGAGCAAGTTGTGGTGCGATGGGAATTGCTGCACTTGGTCCAAGATTCGGTCGACGTAATTGTTCGTATTGCTCATCGGGTTGAAAGGGTGCACGGCATGACATTGCGGTAGCGGCGTCGGACTCAAAAACTGAAAAAATATATGTGCGTAAAACCATATTTAAATTTATTTAAGCACTTATAAAAATTAAAAATGCAAATCACATTCACGCTCCATTGCGGTTACGTCGAGTGTCGCTAATTCAGTCAAAGCAGCGGACATTTTGTTTTTCTCGTTAAAAATTATTTTTAATTTAATTTTTTTCGCACAATGCTTGTCACCAATACAAATCAACGATGACTAGACTAGTATTTCTGTTAAGCGTCTATGTCAAATTTTCATTGCCTACCTTGTCTTTTAAATTTTTACGTATACGTAGATGATAATTTTGTTCGTTTTGCTTGCGTTGTCACCTTTTACTGCCAATTAAACTTTTCTTTCTGGTGTGCTCTAGTTTTTGTAAAATATAAATATAAAACTTAGGTTAATATTTGAAATCCATAATGTATATAAATTCATACAGTTAAAATACAATTTGCAACCACCAATACTCTTACTAGGTTTGCTTTTTCCTTCTTCTGAAATCTGTTGAAATTAATTGCGATAGCCTTGTTTTCAGCCCGACAGCTTCATAGAGTTGATGTTTTTAAACTTATCGATAAATATAAAAATAAACCTTTTTTTCTTTTTTGGTCGATACATGGAACAAATTATACATATTTTGAAAAAAAAAAAGTTCCTAATAATTTTATAACTTGTAAAAATTGCAAATTGCAATTGCCTTTTAATTTGTCAGTAGTTTTTCAAACACAAAGGTTTCATTTTTCTTTGGTCACACTTTAAAAATCATTAAAAAAAATAACATAAATAACAAGCTGATAGAGACAGTAACGAGATCTGCATCTGTGTGTGCAAAAAAAGTCTTAAAAACCTGCCACAAATATCATTAAATTAAGGGAATAATATACATATTTTCGTAGTCATTCGCGTTTTTGGGTTGTGCATCTTGTGTAAATGAGTAAAATATTGGAAATCATCTGTACATATAATAACAAAATTTCTAAGTGTCAAAGTCACAAGAAACTGCGATCGAATTCATCAAATCAACATTTGAGTATACAAATGTATGTAAATATACTAGTGCATATGTACGTATCATTCAAGTCAACACACTGAGCATAAGTACCCTATCTGAAATTATAAGGCAGAGTATATTGATTAAATCCCAAAAATGAATATAAATATGTATGTGCAAATTTGATTTATTGTGACATGATTTCAAAATAGATTTTGTATAAATAGGTTACAATTATATCGACCATTGAATGAGTAGGGTATATTTTGAATACTAAGCAAAACCGAAAGTAATGTTAGTCATATCATCGTGAGCACTAGCAAATCTAGCGATTTGCTACTAGCGTAGCGACATTAACATACATATGCATTTTTAATGTAGTACATAAAATATAATTTGATACATTAATTAACATTCTAAGAAAAAAAAAATCGCCGATCGCTTTCATGAGTCATGACGCTCATATTCCTTAAAAATTTCCCAATTAAGGTTTGTAAGTTTAACACGAAATTTTTTTCTAGGTCCGTGTATACAACGCGTATATCGAGTTTTGCTTTAAATATCGATTAATTGCCCCGTTATTTTGTTATCGATAAAAAACATTATCGAAAACCAGTAATAAATTTATATCTCCTACATCTTTAAAGCGAGAGTCTCGAAATTTTGTATGTATACTTATATGCATTTTATACAATTTCGGTTTTTCTGAAAATTTACCCCCCACCCCTAATTTACCCCCTCACCCTCACAGTTTTAAAAGGCGTATTTCAAATACTAGGGACTTGTGCATTGGCAAATACATGCATATCCATGTTATAATCATAATCTGAAAGTTTCATGAAGAAAGTACATCCACAAGAAAAGTTATTGAACAATTAGGTTCCTATAGTGTGTGTGCGTGTGTGTCTTGTGTAAGCAGAAAGACACGAAAAATGATTGAAACAGCTATTGCTCGAAGGGTTCAGGGAATCTCGTAGTCGGGCAGTCTCGACTAGACCTTTCTTACTTGTTTTTTTCTGGCTAATAATGTTTTCAGCTTGACTCCACTGCACTCAATAATAATTCTCCCAAATTGAATTTTATTGCTTTTAAGAAAAACTGTTTAAAAAAATAAACCTCATTATTTATGTATGTATATGCGTATAGCTTTCAATTTGAAGGCTCGCGTAAAAATACACTGATTTTTCAAAGTAATTTAATTGTATATTTGTTGTGACAAACAAAACCCACATTAATAGCCGTTTTAGATAAAGAGTATAAATTGATGTCCTTGACGTACAAATGTATGTTCATAAGTGAGTCATTATTAAGTAAGACCCTGTCCAACAATGTTGCTTATCCATATCAAGCAAACATCACAATTAATTGCGAATTAGTCAGAGGTTTTACTTTATCCCATTCGTTTTACTTAACCGATTTTAATCAGATTTTCAGCATATCTTTGTATATTTAATAAAGGTATAAATTCTCACATACACTAGTCGGTATAATTATTTTGATGGAAAGTCTCGCGTACATTGATCATAACTATTTAACGGTTTTATTTAAAATTATTTATTAATTTTCTTTTGTTATATATGTATATCTGATAAAGATATTTATTAAATTGAAAGTTAGGGCTTGTCATAAGTATTTTGACAAGAATGTAATATTAAGAAAAACTAGTAAGAAAGCTCTAGTTGAGACTGCTCGACTACGAGATCCCCGTAGTCGAGGAACTGATATTTCAATAATTCTTCGACACAAGAAATATGAACACTCACAATCACAGAAACACATATGTAAGCACGCAGGCATAATCACGCATGGGCTTACTATGGGAACTTAATTGATTAATAACTTTTCTTCGAAATGGACTTTCTTCAGATCGTGATCCTGACATTGGAATTCGTGCATATGGCAAAGCACAAGTCCCTAGTACAGTAGAATCCGGATAAAGCGACACTCAAGGGACCGTCGATTTTACGTCGCTATACCCGGAGGACGCTTTAACCAGAAAGAGTAAAAAATATATTTTTATACCCTGAACCCATTGAAAATGGGAAATCAGCTGAAATTTGGCATGCATACTTGTGTATCCCATAGGCAGTACAAGTTTATCTTATTTTTTCGATAACTCDTCCRATAAYTTTTTTATCGAGAATAATCGAAAAATCGACATTGTTTTTTCAGCCTAATTTGAACACTTTTAGACCTGGAGACTTCAAATTAGCGTTGTATATAAAGTTAATAGATACAATTTTGCAATTTACAGATTTTGGATACCACGCCCCCTTCTCCACCAATTTGTAAAAAACGCATTTCAAGTACTAGAGACTTGTGCTTTGGAATGTACACACATTTTACCCATATGATTACGTTCTGAAAGTTTCATTAAGATTGTATGTCTACAAAAGAAATTATTCAACAAATAAATTCTTATAATGTTGCCCACACTGCAGCGCCCAGCGCAGCCGCTGCTTACTGCGCAGTTAGCAGAGCACGTGCTTATAAGTGCATGTTATGTATGTGTGCATGATAGAGGTCCAGAATGATTAGAATATCAGCTTGGAGGGCTCAGGGTATCTCCTAGTCGAGCAGTCTCGACTAGAGCCCTCTTACTTGTTGATACTGGAGTTATATCTGCCCATAAAACTGTTATCTTGACTTTTAAGTTTGATTGGACTTAAGCGACACGTCCTTGTTCCTATTTGTCGCTAACTTTATTTTAACGTTAACACAGCACTTTCACAGATTATATTCTTAGCCGCCAAATTAAAACAAAATTGTAGCGTTTTGAGGAATCAGAAAAATATTTCTTCAGCATCCCATAGAAGGATTCTCCCTGCAATGGTCATATTTTGTGCATGGTGTCGAGAAGATTTATGGGCCATTATGCTTTTTAAACATACAACAATTGACGACAATTGAAATTTATTTGCAGTGCGTTTTACAGCCTTGCTAGGGTTAACGTTTGCGGCCAATGAAGGCCTGGGGTCCGGCTAAATTACCCTTGGATATTTATAACTTTTATTATATTTTTAATTATTTATCAACACTTAATACAAATTAAAGTTAAATAAAAAAATTATTTGGTTGTCAATTGCGTGTGCGTGCGTGCATGTGTATGTGTGTGTGTGCGTGTTTCTTGTTTAAGTAGAAAGACGCGAAAAATTATTGAAAAAGCTATTGCTCCAAGGGTTCAGGGGATCTCGTAGTCGAGCAGTCTCGGCTAGAGCTTTCTTACTTGTTTTTTTTTTTTTAATTACTTCAAAAATTCGATTAGGAATGAAATTATAAAGTCGTTCAATATAATTCAAGGATATGGTTGACCAAGCGTGTTCAGTACCTTCAATTAACTTTGTCTTTCCAATGTTTCCAATGATATTAAGGTCGAGTGAGTATGGTGGCCACTCCATGAGATCAATTTTTTGGCCCTGAATCCAGGACTTCAGGGATCGGGCGGTCTGAATTGGAGCATTATCATGCTAGAAAATCTAATGCCGGTTTTCAGACAGGTTATAAAAATGCGGAACAGCAGTTTTAAACACGGTGTTATAGTCCTATGCGTTCATGCGCGATGTCAAAAATTTAAGCTTGCAAGTGCTGTAGTAAGATATTGCTACCTACACTAACGCCGCAGCGGCTTGGCGACCGTTCCAAATAATGCTCTTCTATGCGTAGTGCATGGAAATGATAATTATAGCCATCAGTTCCTTCCAAATTCAATTTTTCTCATCAGAAAAGCCAACATGCTGCCATTGGGTAGACCACGTCATATTCGCCCGGGCAAAATTAATGCGTATTTCTTTTCTCAGCATATCGACTGGTGTCTTTTTTTTATACCCTGAACCCATTGAAAATGGGAAATCAGGGTATAATGGTTTTGTTGAAATGTACGTAATTACAGCGCGCATATCAAGTTTATCATTAAAAATCGATAACTCATCCCGATCTTTTTTTTATCGATAAAAACCCTTATCGAAAACCAGTTATAAGATTATATCTTCTACACCTTTATTGCTAGAGTCTCCAAATTTTTAATGTATGCTTACATGCAATTTATACAATTTCGGTTTTTGTTAAAATTTACCCCCCACACTTAAATTCACCCCCTCACCATCACTTTTGTAAAAAGCGTATTTCAAATACTAGAGACTTGTGCTTTGGCAATTACACGCATATCCATGTATCCATACGTCCACAAAAAAAGTTATTAAGCAATTAAGTTCTCATAGTAATCGTATGTGTATGTGTGTGTGTGTGTGTGTGTGCGTATGTGTGTGTATGCATGCCTGTGTGTGCGTGCGTGTGTGTGTGTGTGTGTGCGTGTGTGTGTGTGAGTACGTGTTTCTTGTGTAAGCTGAAAGACGCGAAAAATTATTGAAATAGCTAA